GGGGCCTCAATAATTAGAATAGGATGTTAGGGTCCATTATAATTAATAAGGAACCCCCAAAATAAGATAGGTAATTATTGAGGCCTCTATATTATCTTAAGTTCAACTCCCATTTTTGGCCGGGCTTCTCGGCTCCTGGATCTGCAAGGCGTCGGGATTGCTCCAATACTGCAGTCTAACATGCTTAGGGTTTAGGGCTTAGAGTTTAGAGTTTAGGGTTTAGTGTTTAGGGTTTCGGGTTGGAGGGGCTTAGGGAAATGCGAATGTGGCTTCTCATCTACTAGAACTGCTTGTGACCCTAAACCCTAAACCCTAAACCCTAAGCCCCAAACCCCAAACCCTAAACCCTAAACCCTAAACCCTAAACCCCAAACCCTAAACCCTAAACCCTGGCCTTTGTTGAGCCTCGGCTTTAGCGGCTAGGGGTGCTGCATTGAGGCCCCAGCGCTGAGGCCCAATGCCGGAACGCTCAGTCCGAAAATACTACATCAGTGAAGTACCCTGTAAAGTAAGGGTTTAGGGTTTTGGGTTTATGCATGTCTTTACAGAGGCCGAGAGCCAATACTGCAACCCTAGAACACTAAATCTCTAGACCCTTGAACCTCCCAGATTCCGTCTGAAGAGGCGTACCCGCCCTCTGCCGTTGGGTTGCAAAGCTTCTCCTTCCCCCATGTAGAGGCTGCTGTCATCGCCCAAACTTGACGTTTACCCAATGGACACCCAAGCTGTAGTGTCTTGCGGGCTCTACTTAAGGGTCCACTACTTACTTTTTGAAACTGCCAGAGAAGTTAGAGGTTGCCCACTCGACACCCAAGCAAAAACATTTGAACAAACTGCACCTAGACTGAGGTGGGTCCTGTCGAACACGCGGAAAGCAGACCAGCAAACGTCCTGGCGCTGGGCAGCGGACTTTCAATGGATCCCCTGGACTTAACGATTTGGGACGGTGGGGCTTCACGGCTTCCGTTTACTGCTCTTCCCCTAAACCCTAAACCCTAAACCCTAAAACCCTAAATCCTAAACCCTAAAACCCTAAACCCTAAACCCTGAGAGCTTACAGGCTGGGTCTACAACACCCGAAGGTTGCGGGAATGGAATCTAAGGATTTTAAGGGTGCACCGGTGATGCAGTGACAGGCCAGTGATTAAGCTGGCGACGGCGATGACGATGAAAGAACCGTTGATAAGACTGGCCCTACTACTACCCCAAACCTTGCCGTTCTCTAAATTATGGTCCCTCCTTGGGTCCTCTTTATAAGGGGGCCCGTACTATGTTGGGGACCTAAAATGGGACCCTGATTTAGAGAACTAAACCCTAAACCCTAAACCTTATAGCTCCCTTAAAGGAACCTTTTTCAAAGGACCCCCAAAAAGGGACCCTCATTACACCCTTGCAACCATGATTGCTCTACTTTATCGTTCGAAGTCCGGGTTTGGGCCCTAAACCCTAAACCCTAAACCCAAGACCATGATTGCTCTACCTTATCGTTCGAAGTCCGGGGTCTGGGGTTTGGAGCCTTGAATTTTGCAACCCAGGAACGCCCCAGCAATGTAGGGGGGCTTTATTGATCAGAATGGGGTCTTGGGGTATGATATACTATGATTGTACTATAATTATAGTTTTACTATAATTATACTATAATTATACTATAATTGTACTATAATTATAGTATAATTATAGTACAATTATACTATAACTATACTATAACTATACTATAATTATACTATAGTTATACTATAACTATAGTATAACTATTCTATATTTATAATAAGGACCCCCCCCCCCCCCAAAGTAGTGTTGGTAACTATTTAGGCTCCTATATTAGAGCTTAGGGCTTGAAGTCGCATCATCATTCTCAGCGCTGTGATACTTCGCTATATTACTCTTAGTCTTGTTGCTCAAATTGTCCCAGCCCGGGGCCCGCGTCCTCCTGGATATACTGACGCCTGTGCAGAGCATGTCGTCAGTCAGAAGTGATCCATCAAAGTCATATACAGACTACTCAAACTATGCACAACAGTGAAAACACAATGATGCGCGAACT